AAGAAAACTTCCTAGGGTCTTACATCCTGTAAAGACTTCCCTTTTTCAAATGAGTGAGTGTGATAGGACTCTCACCTGTTTTTCAATCCATTCTTCTTCTCTCTCATCCTCCTGCTCCACCAAAAGATAGTGGATTTTAAGGACTTACCTTTCACCTTATCTTTTCCTTAGTTGATTAGGGTGTAAACTCCCCATACATATGTACAGCCCTTAGTAAACTTTTTAAAGTTTATAACTGGAAACTGCCTGCTTTGTTTGCTTTTGAGGCAGCTTCAGCCCAAGGACGCAATGCCAGACTAGTTCCTAACAGTTTCAGATTTATTTTTTCCCTCAAAAAGGATTAACATGCTGGAAAATTCCGATTTCCCAGCATTTCAAGTTGCCCTTTCTATCAGCCTCTCTCTGATAAGTTTACTCCTTCAAACCCGCTCTCCACCCATAAAATGGGCTATCCTTCTCTGTCTAGCGCCCCCTTTTGGCCTTTGCCAGGATACCCATTGTTTTTAGGATAGAGCCAATTACAAAATGACATTTAGAACCCAGGAACAAAAATCGTGTTACATAGTGTAATGTATAGCACTGTATAGCAAATTAGAAACAAACCTTCTTAGATCTTATAAAACGATCAAGCTGCCTCACTTTGCTAGACCAACAGCAACTGGTATCATATACTGTTCAAATATCTGTATATTTTCAATTGTATTGTAATGCTTTTAATGTTAGCCGCCTTTTGAGTCTCCTGGTACTGTTCCATTATCTGGGCAGACTCCAAAAGGGAGCCTAAACAAGAGAAGCATAGTCCATTTTATGGGGGGGAGTTGAAGGAGCAAAACCATTTCCCCATGATTATCCCCACCACCACTCCATATCATAAATGTTTCGACAACGGTGACATGAGTGGTGAAAATAACAGGAACACATGGGGAAATGGGTTGTTGTAGGTTTTTTCGGGCTATATGGCCATGGTCTAGAGGCATTCTCTCCTGACGTTTCGCCTGCATCTATGGCAAGCATCCTCAGAGGTAGTGAGGTCTGTTGGAACTAGGAAAAGGGGTTTATATATCTGTGGAATGACCAGGGTGAGACAAAGGACTCTTGTCTGCTGGAGCTAGGTGTGAATGTTTCAACTGACCACCTTGATTAGCATATAATGGCCTGACAGTGCCTAGAGCAAACTTTTGTTGAGAGGTGATTAGATGTCCTTGTTTGTTTCCTCTCTGTTGTTGTGCTGTTGTATTTTAGAGTTTTTAATACTGGTAGCCAGATTTTGTTCATTCATAGGCACTGTCAAGCAATTATATGCTAATCAAGACGGTCAGTTGAAACATTCACACCTAGCTCCAGCAGACAAGAGGAAAGAAAGGAGGGAGAGGTGAGGGTGAAAAGGAAAGGAAGGGAAGGAAGGAGGGAAATGAAGGAGGGAAGGGAGGGAGGGGAAGAAGTAAAGGAAGAAGAAGAAAGGGAAGTAGAGAAAGGGAGGAAGGGAAGGAAGGAGGGGGGAAGGAGGGGGTAGACTGGATGGCCTTTGGAGCTCCCTTCCAACTGGTTGGCCATCTGTTGTGAGGGCTTTGATGGTGTCTTCCTTTACTGCCAAATGAGGTTGGGCTGGATGGTCTTTGGGGCTCCTTTCCAAGCAATGTCAGTTTCGTGTGTCACTATTACCCCCATCATGGCACCTTCCTCCTTCCCTTGTACTGTGTGTGTGTGTGTGTGGGAGACAGAGAGTCAGTGTGTGTGCACAGAGTGTGGCCTGCCTCCCTCTTTTTCTCCCCCCCCCCCCCCCCCCCCGCTCCTCAACCTCTGCCCTTTGATCCCTTGCCTTAGTGTTAGTTAGCTGCTGAGAGATATGCAGGGAGCAGCAACCATTGCTGCCACAACTGCTTTGGAACCCTCATTCTGTGTCATCAGCGTGAGGGGGAGGGGGCAGGGGAGGTGTGTTGTCTTCTTCCTTTTTGGAATTTAAAGGTGTTTTTGTGGGTCACTTCTGGGATTGCGAGGAGTTTTGTTGCCAAATTTGGGTCATTTTGCCCCATAGCTTTTTGTTTTTAAGGTACTCATTACACACAGAGCATTTATATAACTAGCGGTCCCCTGCCACACGTTGCTGTGGCCGTCTGGTGATCTGGAAAATAAAGTAATGAGAAAGTGTTGGTTTCTAATATATGTAATTTCTTTCTGCTTGTGGGTAAACAGTATTTCTTGCTGTTTCTTTGCCAGTGTTGATGTGGAGATTCTCTGGTTCGCCTACTCTGGAACAGGCAACATATCATTGTCCTTCTTTAGGGGTCCCTTTCAAATCTTTGATACTGCATCTGTCATATACATATGTGTGCGTGTGTGAATGGCTGGATGGCCCTTTGTCAGGAGGGCTTTGATTATGTTTTCTTGCCCTGGTGAAAGGAGTTGGACTGGATGGCCTTAAGGCAGCATTTCTCAACCTGGGAAGTCAAGACCCCGGGGGTGAATCACATATATTTATCTGTATCTATGGCTGGATGGCTCTTTGTCAGGAGGGCTTTATGTTTTCTTGCTATTGTGAAGGGAAATGGACTGGGTGGCCTTAAGGCAGCATTTCACAACCTGGGGTTTGGGACCCCTGGGGTAGGGGTTGCGAGGGGGTGTCAGAAGGGTCACCAAAGACCACCAGAAAACACAGTATTTTCTGTATTGTCGAAGGCTTTCATGGCTGGAATCACTAGGTTCTTGTGTGTTTTTTCGGGCTATAGGGCCATGTTCTAGAGGCATTTCTCCTGACGTTTCGCCTGCATCTATGGCAAGCATCCTCAGAGGTAGTGAAGTCTGTTGGAATTAGGACAATGGGTTTATATATCTGCGGAATGGCTGGGGTGGGGCAAGGAGAACTTCCCTGCTGGAGCTAGGTGTGAATGTTTCAACTGACCACCTTCATTAGCATTTGAAGGCCTGGCTGAGCCTGGGAAAATCCCCTGTTGAGAGGTGTTAAGATGTGCCTGGTTGTTTCCTCTCTGCTGTTTTGCTGTTGTAATTTTAGAGTTTTTTAATACTGGTAGCCAGATTTTGTTCATTTTCATGGTCTTTTCCTTTCTGTTGAAATTGTCCACATGCTTGTGGATTTCAATGGCTTCTCTGTGTAGTCTGACATGGTGGTTGTTGGAGTGGTCCAGCATTTCTGTGTTCTCAAATAATATGCTGTGTCCAGGCTGGTTCATCAGGTGCTCTGCTATGGCTGACTTCTCTGGTTGAAGTAGTCTGCAGTGCCTTTCATGTTCCTTGATGCGTGTTTGGGCAATGCTGCGTTTGGTGGTCCCTATGTAGACTTGTCCACAGCTACTTGGTATACGGTAGACTCCTGCAGAAGTGAGAGGATCCCTCTTGTCCTTTGCTGAACGTAGCATTTGTTGGATTTTCTTGGTGGGTTTGTAGATTGTTTGTATGTTGTGTTTCCTCATCAGCTTCCCTATGCGGTCAGTGGTTCCCTTGATGTATGGCAGGAACATAGGGACCACCAAACACATTGGTTCTTTTGTTTTTATGGTACTCATTATGTGCAGAGCATTTTTATATAGATACAGTTCACTGAGGTTAACCTGCATTCTGAAACTGAATTATATGGCAGTGTAGACTCAACTGCAGTGTTTACAAAGTAACAGCCAAATGTGCCCTTTGTTAACTGGGGACACATTTTTTTTTTCATGTCAGGAGCGACTTGAGAAACTGCAAGTCGTTTCTGGTGTGAGAGAATTGGCCGTCTGCAAGGACGTTCCCCAGGGGACGCCCAGATGTGTTACCATCCTGTGGGAGGCTTCTCTCCCAAAATGAAGTTCAACAGTGACAAATGCAAGATACTCCACTTTGGCAGAAAAAATGAAATGCAAAGATACAGAATGGGTGACGCCTGGCTCGAGAGCAGTACGTGTGAAAAAGATCTTGGAGTCCTCATGGACAACAAGTTAAACATGAGCCAACAATGTGATGTGGCGGCAAAAAAAGCCAATGGGATTTTAGCCTGCATCAATAGGAGCATAGTGTCTAGATCTAGGGAAGTAATGCTACCCCTCTATTCCGCTTTGGTTAGACCACACCTGGAATATTGTGTCCAATTCTGGGCACCACAATTCAAGAGAGATATTGACAAGCTGGAATGTGTCCAGAGGAGGGCGACTAAAATGATCAAGGGTCTGGAGAACAAGCCCTATGAGGAGTGGCTTAAGGAGCTGGGCATGTTTAGCCTAAAGAAGAGAAGGCTGAGAGGAGATATGATAGCCATGTATAAATATGTGAAAGGAAGCCACAGGGAGGAGGGAGCAAGCTTGTTTTCCGCTTCCTTGGAGACTAGGACGCGGAACAATGGCTTCAAACTACAAGAGAGGAGATTCCATCTGAACATTAGGAAGAACTTCCTGACTGTGAGAGCCGTTCAGCAGTGGAACTCTATGTCCCGGAGTGTGGTGGAGGCTCCTTCTTTGGAAGCTTTTAAGCAGAGGCTGGATGGCCATTTGTCAGGGGTGATTTGAATGCAATATTCCCGCTTCTTGGCAGGGGGTTGGACTGGATGGCCCATGAGGTCTCTTCCAACTCTTTGATTCTATGATTCTAGGAGCGACTTGAGAAACTGCAAGTCGTTTCTGGTGTGAGAGAATTGGCCGTCTGCAAGGACGTTCCCCAGTGGACGCCCGGATGTGTTACCATCCTGTGGGAGGCTTCTCTCGTCCCCGCATGGGGAGCCGGAGCTGGCAGACGGGTGCTCACCCCGGATTTGAACGCAGAGTAGTCACAATCATTCTCAAATGCTTTGAGAAAAAAAAGAGACGTTTTGCAACCACGTCACGAGGTCTTTTTCGGTCGCCTCAAATCAAGCGGGACCCAGCCCTGTGGAAGCCAGTCCCGCTGTGAAAGCCAAAGCGGTAGCAGTAGACCAAAGCGGAGCCTAGTACTGCCCCGCCTTCCTTGCGCCCCCAAATCCGCGGCTCAATAGAGGCGCGCCTCGAATGCCTCCCCCCCCCCCGCCCGGTTCTCTTTACCGCGTCGGCGGGCGGCCCCTTTTGGGCTGCCTGGCTCCGGCCGTGCTCCCGCCGATGGAAAGTTGTGCCCGGCGCCCCCGTGGCCCTCCGCAAGAAGCCCAGGAAGAAGGCCAGCGCCAGCGCCGCTCCCCACGCCGCCGTGAGCAGCAGGCAGCAACCCCCCTCCTCTGCCTTCATCGCGGCCTCAGGGCAGAGTGGCAAGCGCCAAGCTCGTTAGCCCTGCGGAGGCGGGGCTGGTCTGGCCTGGCCTCACAGGGGCCGAGCGAAGGGGAAGAGGAGGCAGCTTCTGCCAGAAAAGGGACGGCGCTGCGTCCCGCTCACGAGTGCAAGGGGGGGGGGGCATGGAGGCGCTCGCGGACGGCGTGTGCCGAGGAGCGCGCGTGTGCGGCAGGTGCACATATAGCCTGCCCCCTGCTCACATGCTCCTCCTTCACAATTAAAGGAGCCTTCCTTTGGGGCACCACTGGAAACGCTCGGGCACCTCTCTATGGGCCAGGCCCGCAGTGGTTCTCAGCCTGTGGGTCCCCAGATGTTTTAGCCTTCAACTCCCAGAAATCCTAACAGCTGGTAAACTGGGTGGGATTTCTGGGAGTTGTAGGCCAAAACACCTGGGGACCCACAGGTTGAGAACCACTGGGAGTGTAGGAGATGGAGCGTACAGCCAGTCCTCCATATATCGTTTCTCACAGGGGTCCTGTGCCCCTAGAATCATAGAATCAAAGAGTTGGAAGAGACCTCATGGGCCATCCAGTCCAACCCCCTGCCAAGAAGCAGGAATATTGCATTCAAATCACCCCTGACAGATGGCCATCCAGCCTCTGTTTAAAAGCTTCCAAAGAAGGAGCCTCCACCACACTCCGGGGCAGAGAGTTCCACTGCTGAACGGCTCTCACAGTCAGGAAATTCTTCCTCATGTTCAGATGGAATCTCTCTTGTAGTTTGAAGCCGTTGTTCCCCGTCCTAGTCTCCAGGGAAGCAGAAAACAAGCTTGCTCCCTCCTCCCTGTGGCTTCCTCTCACATATTTATACATGCTATCATATCTCCTCTCAGCCTTCTCTTCTTCAGGCTAAACATGCCCAGCTCCTTAAGCCGCTCCTCATAGGGCTTGTTCTCCAGACCCTTGATCATTTTAGTCGCCCTCCTCTGGACACATTCCAGCTTGTCAATATCCTTTGAATTGTGGTGCCCAGAATTGGACACAATATTCCAGATGTGGTCTAACCAAAGCAGAATAGAGGGGTAGCATTACTTCCTTAGATCTAGACACTATGCTCCTATTGATGCAGGCCAAATCCCATTGGCTTTTTTTGCCGCCACATCACATTGTTGGCTCATGTTTAACTTGTTGTCCACGAGGACTCCAAGATCTTTTTCACACGTACTGCTCTTGAGCCAGCGTCACCCATTCTGTATCTTTGCATTTCATTTTTTCTGCCAAAGTGGAGTATCTTGCATTTGTCACTGTTGAACTTCATTTTGTTAGTTTTGGCCCATCTCTCTAATCTGTCAAGATCGTTTTGAATCCTGCTCCTGTCCTCTGGAGTATTGGCTATCCCTCCCAATTTGGTGTCGTCTGCAAACTTGATGATCATGCCTTCTAGCCCTTCATCTAAGTCATTAATAAAGATGTTGAACAGGACCGGGCCCAGGACGGAACCCTGCGGCACTCCACTTGTCACTTCTTTCCAAGATGATGAGGAAGCATTAGTGAGCACTCTCTGTGTTCGTCCACTTAACCAATTACAGATCCACCTCACCGTAGTTTTGCCTAGCCCACATTGAACTAGTTTCCTTGCCAGAAGGTCATGGGGGACCTTGTCGAAGGCCTTACTGAAATCCAGGTACGCTACATCCACGGCATTCCCCGCAAACACTAATCACTATCCTAAAACTTCTGTAATAGTTAACTAAAATAAATTAAAACACAATAAAATTTTATGAAATAATAAGTATGGTAAAATGGGATTAAATTACAAGATGAAAGCAGGGGGAGTAGAGTGACAGGTACATATGCACAAAATAATAATCTATATAAATAAAAAAGTAATGTTTGTTTGTGTGATTAACATAACTCCAAAACCACTGGACAAAGGAGGGGGCTTGGGGGGCTTCAGCCCCCCCCCCCGATCTGCAAAAAGGCCTTACTGGTACATTATTTAAACTGTTATGTTTATTCATATCATGATCTGATCACCATGCTCAATATATCTCATATGCATGGAGGTATTGGGGTAACAATACAAAAGGTTTGCTAGGGTAGACCCTCTTTCACTCAGACCAGCCCCCCCCATCAAACTCAGCCCCCCCCTCCCCAGGTTGAGAACCACTGTTCTAGATCAATGGTTCTCAAACTGTGGGTCCCCAGATGTTTTGGCCTTCAACTCCCAGAAATCCTAACAGTTGGTAAACTGACTGGGATTTCTGAAAGTTGTAGGCCAAAACACCTGGGGACCCACAGGTTGAGAACCACTGGACCAGGGAGTGTAGGAGATGGAGCATATAGCCAGTCCTCCATATATCGTTTCTCACAGGGGTCCTGTGCCCCTAACCCAGCCATGAGCAAACTTCGGCCCTACTGGCTGTTAGGAATTGTGGGAGTTGAAATCCAAAACACCTAACTCCATATGTTTTTATTGATTAGTCTGTAATAAGAAATTCAATGTGCAAATTTGATAAATGTAAATTTAATAATGATGTGTGGGAATGAATGGAAGAATAGAAGGTTGTATGAATTGAGCTAATAATTTTGGAAACACCAGTATAATATTAAGGCCTGCAATGACTAACTACCTGCTTGTCGGACTTCCTAATGAGAAGTTGTGATAAGAACTGGGACAGTGATAACGGAAATGTTTGCAACCTTCCTTATGTTAAGAAGGAAGTCAACATAAGATCAACACCAATCAAGAAGAGTAAACATCTGGCCAGGAGACTGGGATGGATCCAGGATGGAAGACGTCTATCATTAATTTACAACTATGGGACTACATCAACAGAATTTTCCTATAAAAGACTCAGGCTAATAATGCTCAAATCGTGGCAGACCGAGGAGTCTGTTCCACCCGCCATGCTCTGCTCCATGGGAAGGAGAGAGGTGGTGTATTCAGAGAGTGTCAGATATGCTATGGGAAAGCATGATTCTGGACACTTTGGGGCTTCTTTCTCAAGGGAAGAGGAAGAAGTGCGCTTTTGGAGTCTTGGATTTTGTGCAGGGAGTCAGGTTCTGCTGTATGGAAAACAGAGATCTGGTCCTTGGCATTGTTCTTAGGGAAAGAAGTTTTGGCATTTCAGCGTTTTGAATGGCGTTATGGAAGTTATGGAACTATGCATTGGCAGGCTGCAGGAAAGCAGGGTCTGGCCTTACAGGTGCTTCTCCAAGGAGGGAGAAAAGGATATGGTAATATTTGGATGCATGTGGATGAATGCGTGTACATGTGTGTGAATGTTGAGTGAAAATGTAATTCCCCTATGTTTGTTTGTTAACCAATGTAATTGTGAATCCAATGTAGTTGCATAGAATCTGTATGTCCGTATGTCCAATGTAATTCTTTGTCTAAATATTTTCTGTAATCTAATATACCTTCTCACACTGGAAATTGCAATAAAAAGAACCTATGCTTTAAAATCATTGAAAAGTCATTCATGACAGTCCACTGACTATATCAACAATAAAAGACAAAAAAAAACCCCACAGACAAATAAACACTAATCACTATCCTAAAACTCCTGTAATAGCTAACTAAAATAAATTAAAACACAATAAAATTTTATGAAATAATAAGTATGGTAAAATGGGATTAAATTACAAGATGAAAGCAGGGGGAGTAGAGTGACAGGTACATATGCACAAAATAATAATCTATATAAATAAAAAAGTAATGTTTGTTTGTGTGATTAACATAACTCCAAAACCACTGGACAAATTGACACCAAATTTGGACACAATTTGGCTTACAAGTGACCATCACTCATAAAAACACTGGAAAACACAGCAGAAGAGACTTTAAAGGCCAAAAATATAATATATATTACAATGCATGCACAGAACCACAAACACACACACACACACAAACATGCAAACACACATATATACAAATATATACACACACAAAACACATATACATAGACTGGGCCACAGCAATGCGTGGCAAGGGATGGCTAGTAGTAGTAATAGTAACAGAGTTTTGGGGCACCATACTCCTGACCTCATGATTGTGTTAAAAAACAAAGTATGGATTGTCGATGTTGCAATCCAAGGTGACAGAAGGATTGAAGAGAAACAACTGGAAAACCTGACACGATATGAGGATTTAAAGACCGAACTGCACAGACTCTGGCACAAGCCAGTCAAGGGGGGTCCCAGTGGTGCTTAAAGACCTTGGCCTGCACTTAAACACAATTGGCGCTGACAAAATTACCAGCTGCCAGCTGCAGAAGGCTACCTTACTGGGATCTGCACGCATTATTCCCACACCAATGACGGATCAGGACCAAACTTGGCACACAGAGGCCCAATGGCCCACTTTACAACCTGGTGTGGTTCAGGGCAGGATGGGCCACAAATGATGGGATTTGCAGTACCTTCAACCGATTCACTTCCCACAGAACACTGTAGCTCCTACAAATCACAGACGAGGACCACTCTTGGCACAGAGAGCACTCATGACCCACTCTACATCCTGATGCAGTTCTAAGGGGGATGGACCATGGATGATGGGATTTACAGTACCTTCACTCACTGAAACCACTGCGACCCTCATTCAGTGACTGATCAAGACCAAACTTGGCACACACATGACGCAGTCTACATCCTGCTGCAGTTTGGAGTAGGATGGACCATGGATGATGGTACTTGCAGTACCTTCACTCACTTACTGAAACCACTGCGACCCTTATCAATGACCAATAAAGACCAAACTTGACACATAGAACCCCCATTACCCACTTTCTCTAATAACCCAGGCACCGCCGGGTCCCCAAGCTAGTATATAATAAAAGAGAATATTTGTATGCGAAGGGAGGGTGGTGTATGTATATGGCAGCTTTCTGATTGGTTGCCACTTTTGTATAATTTGCATGTGGTTTCTGATTTGCCAGCCTCAACATTCTAACATTCTTAAGTGGCAGAGAGGGGAAAAGAAAGGGCCTGAGACTCTCAGGAATGGTAGGAGTTGAAGTCCAAAACACCTTGGAGGGTATAAATCAGGGGTCCTCAAACTAAGGCCCGGATACGGCCCTCCAAGGTCATTTACCTGGCCCTCGCTTAGGGACAACCTAGGCTTGAAATGACTTGAAAGAACACAACAACAATAATCTTAATCCATCAACCAAAAGCAGGTCCACACTTCCCATCGACATACTAATAAGTTTATATTTGTTAAAATTGTTCTTCATTTTAATTATTGGATTGTTTTAAAGTGTTTTTGAGCTACAAATAAGATATGTGCAGTGTGCATAGGAATTCATTCATTTTTTTTTTCAAATTGTAATCTGGCCCTCCAACAGTTTGAGGGACTGTGACCTGGTCCTCTGTTTAAAAAGTTTGAAGACCCCTGGTATAAATCATAATCTATATCTATATATGCATCTATATAAATAAAAATGTAATGTTCATTTGTGGGATTAACATAACTCAAAAACCACTGGACGAATTGCCGCCAAATTTGGCCACAAGACACCTACTAACCCAAGGAGTGAACATCACACAAAAATTTTTTAATTTTGTCACCCTGAGAATTTCAGGGGGGGCTGAAGCCTCTCAAGCCCGCCTCCCCCCCCCGCCCCCCCCCCGGATACGGGCCTGGTGCGTGTTGACTTTGAGTTTTGGAGTTGTAGTTTACCTACATTCAGAGAGCACTGTGGACTCAAATAGTGATAGATCTGGACCAAATTTGACATGAATACTTAAGATGCCCAAATGTTAACACTGGTGGAGTTTGGGGGAAATAGACCTTGAGATTTGGGAGTTGCATTTCCTGGGATTTATAGTTCACCTACAATCAAAGAGCATTCTGGAATGTACCAACGACAGAATTGGGGCAATTTTCCCACACAGAACCCTCATGACCAACAGAAAATACTGTGTTTTTTTTGTATCGGCAGAATTCAACTGAGAGAATACGCTGGCAATGCTGCCCTAGCAAAGGAAAAACCACTCTGGCACGGAGAAAGAAGCGGAGAAAGGGGCGGAGAGAGAGGCGCAGTCTCATGACGTCAAGGACGTGCTCGCACAGTTTGCTCCCGCAGGAGGCTAGTTTGCGACGGCTCTTAAGGCCACCCAGTCCAACTCCCTTCATCATAGCAAGAAAACATAAAGCCCTCCTGACAAAGAGCCATCCAGCCATAGATACGGATAAATATATGTGATTCACCCCTGGGGTCTTGACTCCTTCAAACCTCCTTCAAGATGAACTGAACCACCTAAACTGGGCTCTACTGCCCAATGGATACTCCACCTCAGACATCAGAAGAGCTGCAAGACCAAGAACAAGCCTCAAGAGTCAAGGCAAAGATCCACCCAGAGGAAAAGTGTTCTTGCCATACATCAAGGAAACCACTGACCGCATAGGGAAGCTGATGAGGAAACACAACATACAAACAATCTACAGACCCACTGTTCCGTCTCCCAGGAGACTGGGCTGATTGCCTTTTTTGGTTGCTTGATTCGGCTGCCTTTGCCTTTCTTTTAGAAGCTGCTGCAACTTTGCAAGTCCTGGAGTTGCAGCCAAAGGCAGGAAAAGGGGGAACCAGCCTGCAAACTCTTGGCAGTGATTGGCCTAGGGAGCAGCTCTTAGAGCCCACCCTTCTTCCTGGGGAGAGTTTTCCTTCTTAGAATCTCCCTACCCTGTTCAGTTCCAAAGAAGCCTTTTGGATGTGCTGAGGGCCAAATAGGGCAGCCCAGAAAAAACCACCGCAAAAACTATTGAGAATTAAGATAAGTACAATTGAGATAGTATAGTTGGGTAAGCTAGATTGACAGCAATTGAGTATAGCGAGATAAGTTTAATTGAGAACTATTGAATGGAGAAGTATTGAGTTAAGTATAGTGAGATAAGTTTAATTGACTATTGAGAGAACAATTGTATTGAGTATTGAGAACAACTATTGGGAACTATTGAAATAAGTATCCCCTTTGATGTTTAGCCCTCGCAGTGGACTCCATTGTTGATTATCTCAATTTTCTCCAGAAAGCCCCAGCGGTTCGCCCAGACATAGCGACAGCACATCATAGTTTGTTTTATAAAGCGTTTGGGTGTAACGGCACACCCACCAAGAAAATCCAACAAATGCTACGTTCAGCAAAGGACAAGAGGGATCCTCTCACTTCTGCAGGAGTCTACCGTATACCATGCAGCTGTGGACAAGTCTACATAGGGACTGCCAAACGCAGCATTGCCCAAACACGAATCAAGGAACAGGAAAGGTACTGCAGACTACTTCAACCAGAGAAGTCAGCCATAGCAGAGCACCTGATGAACCAACCTGGACACAGCATATTGAGAACACAGAAATGCTGGACCACTCTAACAACCACCATGTCAGACTACACAGAGAAGTCATTGAAATCCACAAGCATGTGGACAATTTCAACAGATAGGAGGAAACCATGAAAATGAACAATGTCTGGCTACCAGTATTAAAAAACTCTAAAATTACAACAGCAAAACAACAGAGGGGAAACAATCAAGGACATCTAATCACCTCTCAACAAAAGATTGCCCCAGGCACTGCCAGGCCATCAAATGCTAATCAAGGTGATCAGTTGAAACATTCACACCTAGCTCCAACAGACAAGAGTCCTTTGTCCCACCCAGGTCATTCCACAGATATATAAACCCATTTTCTTAATTCCGACAGACCTCGCTACCTCTGAGGATGCTTTCCATAGATGCAGGCGAAAGGAGAAAAATACCTCTAGAACATGGCCATATAGCCCGAAAAAACCTACAACAACCTAAAAATCACAAAGGTATAGTTTTGTATAACATTGCAGGTGCTGCCTTAAGGGATTGCAAATACCCTCACCCACGCCCTTCTTGTGGGTGAGCAATGCCAAGGCTTATTTTTAGCCTTAACGTTGTCTTGGATAGACCCCACTTCAGACAGATTACGCTTTCAAAAGGGAAATGGTCCTTAGGGTGGGTTTGGTGTTTGTTTGTTTTTTAGCTGCCAGATTGGTGAAAATAAGCATGCCTCTACACTATAGAACTAGCAGTCCCCTGCCACACGTTGCTGTGGCCCAGTCTGGTGATCTGGAAAATAAAGTAATTAGAAAGTGCTGGTTTCTAATCTATGTAATGTCTTTATGCTTGTGGGTAAACAGTATTTCTTGATGTTTCTTTGACAGTATTGACATAGAGATTGTCTAGTTTGCCTACTCTGGAACATGCAACATATAATTGTCCATGTTTAGGAGTCCCTTTCAAATCTATAATACTTTATCTGTGTGTGTGTGTGTGTGTGAATCATATATATCTATATCTATGGCTGGATGGCTCTCTATCAGGAGGGCTTTGATTACATTTTCTTGTCCTTGTGAAGGGAGTTGGACTGGATGGCCTTAAGTATTTTCTGTTGGTCATGGGGGTTCTGTGTGGGAAGTTTGCCCCAGTTCTGTCATTCGTGGGGTTCATTCAGAATGGTCTTTGATTGTAGGTGAACTATAAATCCCAGTAACTACAACTCCCAAATGCCAAGGTCTATTTCCTCCAAACTCCATCTGTGTTCACATTTGGGCATTTGGAACATTCGTGCCAAGTTTGGTCCAGATCCATCATTGTTTGAGTCCACAGTGCTCTCTGGATGTAGGTGAACTACAACTCCCAAAGTCAAGGTCAATGCCCACCAAACCCTTCCAGTATTTTCCGTTGGTCATGGGAGGCCTGTGTGCCAAGTTTGGTTCAATTCCATCGTTGGTGGAGTTCTGAATGCTCTTGGTTGTAGGTGAACTATAAATCCCAGCAACTACAACTCCCAAATGACAAAATCATAATTTTTGAGTGATGGTCACTCCTTGTGTTGTGAGACGTTTTGTTGCCAAATTTGGTGTGATTTCGTTCATTGGTTCCTTTGTTTTTAAGGTACTCATTATGCACAGAGCATTTTTATATACATGAACACAGTTTGAGACCCCATTAACTGGCGAAGCGCCATGCTCCAGGATCATTCGCACTCCCCATTCCCAAAAGGAAAAGACGCGAAAAAGCGGGAAAGACGCGGCGGCGGCGGCAGCGGAAACTGACCGTCGCAATCCTGGCCAATCACAAAGAGACGCTTCTGCCCATCAACCAATGGGCGTGAGCCTGTTTCTTTCCTTCCGGAAGCCGCTTTAGAAAGTCGAGGGACCTCGGAGAAGCAAGCCGAGCTGGACCTCGTGTCGCCTGAAGGGTCGCTCGCTCGCTCGCTCGCTCGCTCGAGGGGCAGGAAGGGATGTCCCTCTTCTTCCGGGCCGTGGCCGACAGGAGCAGATCCAGGCAGGCAGGCGCAGGGGTCGAGGAGGCCCATTTAAATCGATGGGGTCTGACCGGTAAGTAAGCCTGGCTCTCAGAACAGATACTACGCAAATAAACAACTATAACAGGAAATCAGGCCTGTATTTTATAGGCCATGGCAGCATCTACACATTGTAGAATTCGATGCCACTTCAACTGCCATGGCTCAATGCTATGGAACTCTGGAATTTGTACTTCATAGAATCATAGAATCAAAGAGTTGGAAGAGACCTCATGGGCCATCCAGTCCAACCCCCTGCCAAGAAGCAGAATATTGCATTCAAATCACCCCTGACAGATGGCCATCCAGCCTCTGCTTAAAAGCTTCCAAAGAAGGAGCCTCCACCACACTCCGGGGCAGAGAGTTCCACTGCTGAACGGCTCTCACAGTCAGGAAGTTCTTCCTAATGTTCAGATGGAATCTCCTCTTTTGTAGTTTGAAGCCATTGTTCCGCGTCCTAGTCTCCAAGGAAGCAGAAAACAAGCTTGCTCCCTCCTCCCTGTGGCTTCCTCTCACATATTTATACATGGCTATCAAATCTCCTCTCAGCCTTCTCTTCTTCAGGCTAAACATGCCCAGTTCCCTTAAGCCGCTCCTCATAGGGCTTGTTCTCCAGACCCTTGATCATTTTAGTCGCCCTCCTCTGGACACATTCCAGCTTGTCAATATCTCTCTTGAATTGTGGTGCCCAGAACTGGACACAATATTCCAGATGTGGTCTAACCAAAGCAGAATAGAGGGGCAGCATTACTTCCTTGGATCTAGACACTATCCTCCTATTGATGCAGGCCAAAATCCCATTGGCTTTTTTTGCCGCCACATCACATTGTTGGCTCATGTTTAACTTGTTGTCCACGAGGACTCCAAGATCTTTTTCACACGTACTGCTCTCGAGCCAGGCATTGTCCCCCATTCTGTATCTTTGCATTTCATTTTTTCTGCCAAAGTGGAGTATCTTGCATTTGTCACTTCGATGAATCCGTAGCATTTTTTTTGGCAGAGAAGCTAAAGATTTTGTCAAACTATAACTCACGTATTTGATTTATCATATCAGGAGCGAACCAATGTATTTGAGAAAACACTTTGCATTCTATTAAATGTCCTTTGACTTGGAGTGCCCCTGGTGTCGCTGTAAGAAGGTCCTCCATTGTGCATTTGGCAGGGCTCAGGCTGCACTGTAATAGGTGGCCTGTGGTTTGTTCTTCTCCACTTTGTGGCCCCATTTCTTAAGGTGGCTCTGCATCTCTTGGTTTCAGGAGTACCAGCCACTGCCAGAAGGGACAGAGAGCTTCATCTATGCTGATGATCGTGCCATTACCGCTCAAGCAGGGAGCTTTGAGATGGTTGAACAGAAGCTCTCCAAAGCTCTAGATGCACTTACCACCTACTACAGGGAAAACCAGCTGATTCCTAATCCATCTAATCCAGGGATCCTCAAACTTTCTAAACAGAGGGCCAGGTCACAGTCCCTCGAACTGTCGGAGGGCCAGATTATAATTTGAAAAAAAAAAATGAATGAATTCCTATGTACACTGCACATATCTTATTTGTAGTGCAAAAAACCCCCTTAAAAACAATCCAATAATAAAAATGAAGAACAATTTTAACAAATATAAACTTATTAGTATTTCAATGGGAAATGTGTGACTGATCAGATAGGATTGTTGTTGTTGTTGTTATGTGCTTTCAAGTCATTTCAGGTTTAGGTTGACCCTGAGTGAGGGCCGGGTAAATGACCTTGGAGGGCCGTATCCGGCCCCTGGGCCTTAGTTTGAGGACCCCTGATCTAATCCATCTTGTCTTCTGCCTATATCATCACGTAAGAGCCCCCCTCCCCCTTCTGGCACCAACGGCTGCTCTGGCCAGAGCGAAGACAGAAGGGAGCAGAAGACACTTCCATCTTGTTTTCTGCCTATATCATCACTTGAGAGGCCCCTCCCCCTTCTGGCACCAATGGCTGTTCTGGCCAGAGCAAAGACGGAGGGGAGCAGAAAACATTTCCATCTTGTCTTTACTAATAATATAATATAGTATATACATACAATATTTATAATATTATAATGTAATACAATATAATACTAGTAATAATAATTTAATATTATAATTATAATTATATATTTACATTACATGCAATATTACTAAACATATTACAATATAATGGTATTGTGCAATATAGTAATATATACTGATATTGTACTATGCTAATAATATAATATATTGTATGAAAATATATATTGTAAGCCACTCTGAGTCCCCTTCGGGGTGAGAAGGGCAGCATATAAATGCCGCAGATAAATAAATAAATAAATCTAAAACACAGACATGCACTTTTCACCTTAAGAACAAACAAGCATCCCATGCTCTGAGGATCACCTGGGAAGAAATCCCACTGGAGCATTGCAGCACACCCAAATACCTGGGAGTCACTCTGGACCGTGCTCTGACCTACAAGAAGCACTGCCTGAACATCAAGCAAAAAGTGGGTGCTAGAAACAATATCATACGAAAGCTGACTGGCACAACCTGGGGATCACAACCAGACACAGTGAAGACATCTGCCCTTGCGCTATGCTACTCTGCTGCAGAGTATGCAGCCTAGTGTGGAACACATCTCACCACACTAAAACAGTGGATGTGGCTCTTAATGAGACATGTCGCATTATCACGGGGTGCCTGTGTCCTACACCACTTACACTGTTTAGTCGGTATTGCACCACCTGACATCCGCCGGGAAGTAGCAGCCAATAGTGAAAGGAACAAGACAGTGACATCTCCAGCTCATCCCCTGTTTGGGTATCAGCCAGGACGTCAATGACTTAAATCAAGAAATAGTTTTCTAAGATCTACAGAGACACTCGCTGGAACACCTCAGCAAGCGAGAGTCCAAAAGTGGCAGGCTCAAACCCAGAACCTCAATCAATGGCTGATACCAAATGAGAGACTCCCTCCTGGGCACACAGAAAACTGGGCGACTTGGAAGGCGCTGAACAGACTGCGCTCTGGCACCATGAGATGCAGAGCCAACCTTAAGAAATGGGGCTACAAAGTGGAATCCACGACATGCGAGTGCAGAGAGGAGCAAACCACTGACCACCTGCTGCAATGCAACCTGAGCCCTGCCACATGCACAATGGAGGACCTCCTTGCGGCAACACCAGAGGCTCCAAGTGGCCACATACTGGTCGAATGACATAAAATCAACTACCAAGCTTGCAAACTTTGTGTTTTGACTGTTTGTTTGTTTTGTTAAAATGTAATACAACTGTCTGGTTGCTCCTGACACGATAAATAAATAAATATCTCTTGGTGCCACAGTGCTGTCTGTTCAGCGGCTTTCAAATCACCCAGTTTTCTGTGTGCCCAGGAGGGAGTCTCTCATTTGGCATCAGCCATGGTTTGAGGTACTGGATTTTAGCCTGCCACTTTTGGACTCTCGCTTGCTGAGGTGTTCCTGCGAGTATCTCTGTAGATCTTAGAAAACTATTTCTTGATTTAAGGCATTGGCGTGCTGGTTGATAAAGATAGGCCGGAGATGTCACTGCCTTGTTCCTTTCATTATTGGTAGCTACTTCCCGGCGGATGTCAGGTGGTGCAATACTGGCTAAACAGTGTAATTTCTCCAGTGGTGTAGGGTGCAGACACCCCGTGATAATGTGACATGTCTCATTAAGAGCCACATCCACTGTTTTAGCGTGGTGAGATGTGTTCCACACTGGGCATGCATACTCTGCAGCAGAGTAGCATAGCGCAAGGGCAGATGTCTTCACTGTGTCTGGTTGTGATCCCCAGGTTGTGCCAGTCAGCTTTCGTATGATATTGTTTCTAGCGCCCACTTTTTGCTTGATATTCAGGCAGTGCTTCTTGTAGGTCAGAGCACGGTCCAGAGTGACTCCCAGGTATTTGGGTGCGCTGCAATGCTCCAGTTGGATTCCTTCCCAGGTAATCCTCAGAGGGGTGCGCTGCAATGCTCCAGTGGGATTCCTTCCCAAGTAATCCTCAGAACTCGAGATGCTTGTCTGTTCTTAAGATGAAAATCACACCTCTGTGTCTGAGATGGGTTGGGAATCAGCTGGTTTGGCCTGTAATAGGCAGTAAGAGCACCTAAAACTTTGGAGAGCTTCTGTTCAACCATCTCAAATCTCCCTGGTTGAGCGGTGATGGCACAATCTTCAGCACAGATGAAACTCTCTGAGGTGGTAGTCCTTTGTGATATTATAAATTTTCCTCAGGAGAAGGCATTGATTTATAATGTCATAGGCTGCTGAAGACAACTCCTGTAATCTGCTGCCTTTCAAAACCGTCTTCTATGTACTGAGTCAGGTTCAGCACTTGTGATGTGCAGCTTTTGCCCTCCCTGAAGCCAGCTTGCTGTGGAATCAGACATTGCTCTATGTTTTCCATAATTCTATGCAAAATAAGTCTCTCCAGAACTTTGTAAAGATGACACAGTAAGGAGATTGGTTGATAGCTTTTTAGATCATTGTGGTCTTTGCCTGTTTTCAAGATGGCTATGACTCTTGCTTTCCTCCAGATTTTGTGGATCTGACAGGACGCAATGCAAGTTGTTCAACAGCTCCAGCAGCCAGCACCTTGTTTTTGTGCATCAAAGTTCTTAATTTGTTCCATCCGTAGATCATCCAGGCCAGCTTATTTACCATTTTTGCATTTATTGAAGGCCGTGTCCAGTTCAGTAGATGTAAAAGGTTCATGAAGGTTGTTGTTCTCATTTTCTTGTTGTCTATTTGTTTCCTTCCTACTTTGGTGGCAAGGTTGGGTTTCCCATTCTTCAGAAGTTGATGCGCTATCTGATCTGCCTTTATGTTGGCATGAGTATTAGTTTGTGAGGGATCATTGCTCAACCGTTTTAGCAGCCTCCCACCTTCTGACTGCTCCTGCCCATGTCGACTTCTGTTATCAACTTGATCCACTGTTCTTTCTTGGCTTCAGATTCATGTGATTGCATAGGATTCAGCCATAGCAGTTGAATTGGAGTCAAGCTGCCATAATTGTAAAGTCCCTTCTATACTGCCATACAAAATCCAGATTATCTGCATTGAACTGGATTATGTGGCAGTGTAGACTCATGTACATTGCTATATAAAATCCAGATGATCTGCTTTGGATGGGATTATATGGCAGTGTAGACCGATACAATCCAGTTCAAAGCAATCCAGTTATCTGCTTTGATAATCTGAATTATATGGCATTGTGGAAGAGACCTAAATGGTATGATTTTAGAGGGAAAGATTGAGAAGGAAATCCTAGAGCAACACCAAAGTTCCAGCCTTTACCCATCAGATTGATGCAACCCTTTCCATGTATGTGGTTCTTTTTCTCTCTCTTTTCTTCACTCAAGGCATCCATCTCCATCCATATCAGCTGGAAGGTGTGAACTGGTTGACACATTGCTATGGAACGTGGCGTGGCTGCATCCTGGGTGATGAAATGGGCCTTGGGAAGACTTGCCAGGTATATCTCTCCCTCCTTCTGTAGAAAAACCTGGTATTTTTAATTGTTGACCAGCCCCCTAGATCAGCATGTCCACAAAACCCTAGGGCTCCTCAAAAGCATTGTATAGGTTCCGTAAAAATCTTTAAAATAAAATTTAAAACAGATTTTAAAATAAAACCACACGAGGCTAACTGTTTAATTTAGACTCTCCATAAGAGCTTTTTTTGGACTACAGCTATTGTTATCAGTAATGGAGTTACTGGCTACCCAGTTCAACATTTGCCATCTGAACAAGAGTGATGCACATGTAAATGATTTTTCACATTGCTCCCACACGCCTTTTTGTGAATTTTTCTTTCAGGTACAGTTTTTGAGATTAAAGATGTTTAGAATATTGGGATGTTATTCATAAAATATCAAAGTGTAAAATTTTCTCCAAAACTCGATATCAGAAATTGAGAGAAGTATGTGAATTGGCATAAAGTAATATATATATATATATATATATAGAGAGAGAGAGAGAGAGAGAGAGAGAGAGATATTTTAAACAAATTGCTGATAGAGTTAGGGTTCTATAGAACATAAATGTCTTCTGAAGAGTTCCATGATTTGAGAGCTGGTGCTCTAGATGCTTCCCCAACATTTTCCGCTATTAGCTGTGCTGGATAGGAATAATATTTTGTCCATGAATACATGTAGAGTTGGGTTTGCATTTAAGCAGAATGAGCAGTTATCCAAACATCAGATCTTGGATGTCAAAAAAGCAGAACTGTATAGTCTTATTTGCTCAACTGGGAAAGTATTCTTACTATCTGGGAATAGGGGTGGTGGGATGTCGTGTTTTATTTAGCAGAATAACTTGCCTGGCTTTGAATACTATGTACTTTCTCTTAAGAATTGCCATTTGTGGAGCTTGTTTCCAAAAGGTGCCAAACCCGTCTGAACAATTTTTACAAAAATGGGGAAAACATTCTGAGGATATGCATTCATTTGCTATAAAAAGGCAGTTTTCCAAGCCCTGTGATTGTAAATGATTTGATATGTTTTGATAGTTTTGATCTGTATTCCCAGCCAACGATGCGCTGCCACGTATTACTTATTCTTCAATTTTGGGGGATTTGTACTTTTTGGAAACAAAATCCACATTTGGTGTTGTGCTGAAAGTCTTGATTTGGAGCCAGCAGCATTACTTTGCGTTTTATGACACAAAATGTCTCTAAATTTTTTCATATATTTCAGACAATTTCTTTGCTTCTTGTTCTAAGTGGAAAGTTTAATAAAAGGCCTTTTTTGGTCCTTTGCCCTCTTTCTGTGTTGAACAACTGGAAGGAAGAACTTAACAGGTAGGCCTATGAACATAAAGGCATACAAAATAGAAATGTTTAAATATGTCTTAACACCCAATCTATCCTGCAATATGAATAATACAAATCTAGGTCTTTTAGCTGTGTATATTTCTAGTCTTTATTGTTGTGCCTTTAATTCATTAACAACATATGGCAACCCTAAAGTGAACTGATCACAGGAATTTCCTGGCAGGATTTGTTTCGAGAGGTTTTTGCTCATGCCTTTCTCTAAGGAGTTAACTTTCTATAATAAAATAATGACAAACACCCACAAATTGAGAAGTAATAGAGTAACAGAGAAGTATAGGGTAACAGACATTAAAAGAAGAATGATTTGGCCCTCCTACACAGCCACTAAATGGTGCTCCATGCAGTCATGCCGGCCACATGACCTTGGAGGTATCTGGACGACACCAGCTCTTCGGCCTAGAAATAGAGACGAGCACCACACCCCAGAGTCATACATGACTGGACTTAATGTCAGGGGACAACCTTTACCTTTTATTAAACAGTCATTGGGCTCCCCTGCCTTTCACTGTGCTTCTACAAAGTCTACAACTTATATCATTTTCAGATATTGTGTAGAGTAGGAAAAAAGCCACAATCGTGAGCTCATATGTTGTCTACAAAATATTCCAGGTTCTGCCCCTTGTATCACAGTGAAAATAATTCTAAGTCAGAATAGTCAGTAGTGGGCAAGGTGAATTAATGATCTGACCCAGAAAAAGAAAAGTATGCATTCTGATCATACTCGTGTACCAAATGTACTGCTACATTTTATTTACTTTTAAAAATAGATTTGCTCCACGGCTTTCCTTCATAACATATTGGGGCGACAAGGAAGAAAGGACTGAGCTACAACAGGATATATCCTCAAATAATAATTTCCACATTCTGCTAACTACCTATGAGGTACTTGACTTTGTCAACAGTAGTGAACTTACTGGGATATGTGAGATACGTGCCCTCAGTTTTATGTCTTCTCAACAGTGGTGATGCAATTCTTCTTGATTTGCCAAAGACCAATGAATAAGTATGGCTTTATTTATGAAGTTTGTTGCATTAAGACACAACAACGAAACACAAAACTGGATGGGATGCAATGTCTACCCTTTTGGAAGAATCAGCTATGCTAAAAAAACCTCAAGACAATGCATGTTCTTTGTGGGAATGACTTCAAAGGATGGGAATAGCACCAGAGGATCTGGTTTCTGAAATGGAAAAATGCATAAATAATTTTTTAAGTTTATTTGATCTGATCCTTTTAACAGAAAGGAAACTTTATTGTATGTGAATAACAATTTTCTTCCACTTGCTTTGCAGATATGCCTTAAAGATGCGTTGTTTTTGAAACGGTGAGGACATCAGATTTGCACCTATTTTTTTGTAACATATATGTTCAGGTTTAGCTATTTGTCCCCAAAAGAAACCATTTTCCAATAGACTAACTTCAGGGATCTGGGATGAATGGGTAGTATTTTAGTGGTTTAAACTGGCTTCCGGTGGAATTTGTGTTTGTGTTACAATCCTTTCTAGGAAAGACAAAGTTTCTTTTAAAACTTTTCCATGCAATGCCTGAAGTATTTAGTAAATTACATTGATTACACAGCCTAACAATGCTTTTCTTGGTGTCTTGGCTTTTAGATCTGTTCTTGGGGTTATTTGGGGGACACTGATTGCTTTGGATAGACTGCACAGCTCTAGTTTCTTAAGATATGTAGTGTGTTGGATGATTTTGCATCATAAACCTGTGCATGTGGTATGAAATAAGTAGATTTTCATGTAATACACTTTTCTTTTAATTTTTAATACATTTCTTCATGCTTAATTTAACACTATATCCTGATTTTTAATGAGCAAACTCTGAAAAATCACATAATGGCAAATGTTCCGTATCTCAAAAACTAGAGCTGATAGGGGAAAATTGGTGTGATTTTTGGAATCAGGAAGTCAAATATATGGTACCCATAAATAGGGCTAACATTTGAGAGCACCCAAAATGTGTATTGACCAGGGTTATCCTGATAATATTCTCCTGCTCTATTAAATATTTCCTTTCCAAACTAACAAGAATATGACCTGATTAAAGAGCCTATGGATCCATACTGTACAGCTGGGCAGTTTAATGGAATTAAAAAGTAGTCTCAGACTAGTGCCTCAAAAGGGTACCACTTGTTGAATTGTCTGTCCAGATCAATAATGGAGAGAGGGAAAGCAGATATTAGTTTACCCTGAACTGGAAGAAAAGCCGTGGAGGTATGGCGAGAACAACAGTACAGCGCAAAGGAGAGAAATGTCAGAGATTAGTAATAGTACATATAATGTATACCATTGAGTTTTGCTATCCTGGAACCAAACCCCAGGAGACATCAAAGGCCTGCTGCATTTTTTCACTTGGAAAGAAGAAGAAGAACCCCAGGACTTCACCTTATGTATGTGTTTTGTGTTTAGTTTTAACTGGGCATGCCTTGTTGTGGATGAAGCTCATAGGCTCAAGAATGAGGATTCATTACTTCATAAAACACTCTCAGAGGTAAAAGTGTAGTGCAATTTTTTTCTTTCCTCAATTTCTTCATGATAGGAACAAATTTATCTTTCACAGCTCTTTGACATATAGGAGATTATTTGATTGTTCCCATTGTATGGTTGTCTTGTCTTTAAAGTTTAGACAGATATTAGTACATTCTAAAAACAGAGGAAAGAAAAGGATTAGAAAGCGTATCAATTAAAACTAACCATCCTACTTAACTCTAGACTCCCAGGGGAAACGCCAGAAGTTTTCCAAGTTCTCTGAGAAAGTATGAGGTATATGAAGTTCATAACACTGGATCTGCCTTTCTCTTTCATTGACTGTTCGACAAGACCAAGCAATTTAACCTGTTCAGTTGTCCTATTTAGGTCCTATTCAGCTGTCCTATTTAGGTATTTTGTCTGTTTGTTTGGTTTGTTCTGTTAGAAATGTTATATAATTGACTGGTTGCCATGACACGGTAAATAAATAAATAAATTTAGGTCCAGAATACATTCTTGCCTCTCACTTGGCCAGCATGGATTTGATCGGAATGCATGACTGTTCGAGAGACACTGGGGCCCCTTCTACACTGCTATATAAAATCCAGATTATCTGCTTTGAACTGGATTATATGGCAGTGTAGACTCATATAATCCAATCTAAAGCAGATAATGTAGATTATCTGATTTGATAATATGGATTATATGGCAGCGTAGAAGGGGCCTGGAGTCACACACAGATCTGTCTAGAAATATAGAGTGATAAAATTAGCAAACTGATAAAAAGTTTGTATTGGTAAATTGCAACAAGTTGATTCATAGCAACACTATCTGTTGTGGAGTGCTCCCATCCCTAGAGAACACGCCCTTGAAACGTTTACTGTAATGTACTCCAAACCCTGGAGGAAGCCAATATGTGATCGTAAAGCAGGAAGGATTTAGAAATTGCCCAAAGAACTAGAGAAAAAACTAAATTTCCTCACCCTCAAAACTTTCTATAACAGAGATGCCAAGCAGTCACAATTCTTCCCCTATTTTTCTTTGGGGAAGGAGAGGATTAGTTCTCAATTACAAATATGTAAAGTATATTTCCTTTGTCCGTTGCGCCCAGATAATTTATTCAGAGCCCTGTGGCTATCTTATAAGGTAATAATTGCACAGCATAACATTTATGACTGGTCTATATATGCAAAATGATCCTGCCTCATCTATTTTTCACCACATTTGCAGCAATGACCAGTTCAGCAGTAGCTCAACCTCTGCATCTTTTCCAGTTTTCAACAGATTTCTGCCTCCTGCTGACTGGCACTCCTATTCAGAATAACCTCAAAGAGCTGTATGCCCTGCTCGCTTTTATTGAACCAGTTATATTCCCCAAGGAGCTAGTGGAAGAGTTTGTTCACTATTACCATGAAGTTGAAAAGGAAAGCAAAACAGGCAAGTAAAAACATTGTGATGGTCTTACGAGTCTTTGTGGGAGTAAAAAACTTGCATAGTTTCTCTAACATCACATGTGAAGGAGAAGCTCTGTTACCCAAATCGACAAGGGATACTGGATTCTGCTGAAAGCACTTTTCCTTACCATTTAAAAGCATGCCAGCTTCTAAGACATTCTGAAATTAATAATGTTAAGAAGAGCAAAGAGACATTTTTGGCCTCCATGGTATCTCTGCAGATGGACAGAAAATACAGGAATAATGGTGTTTGTAGAATTTCAACATTTTGTGGTAGAAACATGGGTCTCTCTAGTTCAAGGCCTGCCAAAAATATTTTAAGTGTCAACATGGAGGAAATGGCATAATGGCCCCTTCTGCATGGTCATATAATCCAGATTATCAAAGCAAATAATTCACATTTTCTGCTTTGAACTGGATTATATGAGTCTACACTGCCATATAAGCAGATAATCCAATTTTATATGGCAGTGTAGAAGGGGCCTATAATGCTTGCTGGTACAAATCTCTTGAATCTTTGAAGTCTCATTCAATTTAATTGTCCTTTCTCAGCATGAAAGTACAAGTCTGAAAATGTATTTCATGCACTGTGATTTAGAATGGCTTTAATGGTATTTTCCTCCCCTTAATCAGCCCAAGAACTGCACAGTCTGTTGAAGCCCTTCTTGCTCAGGAGAGTGAAATCAGAAGTTGCAAGTGAGCTCCCAAAGAAGATGGAGGTCATTCTCTACCATGGAATGTCAGCATTGCAGAGAAAATTTTATAAGGCTATTTTGATGAATGACCTAGGTAAGCAGAGTGATTATTTTTAAAGTAAGCAATTTAATTTACCATGAGCTGAAAATGATTGGTTTCTCAGTATGCAGTGATAAATACACATGTGTCCTGGAACAGAGAATTTGAAACCAGTGATTTTGTCAAAAACAATATTGCCTTCCAATATATCTCTCATTTGCATATGTGTATATATTCTCTTTGCTCAGTTTAAAGATTTAAACAGTTTAAACTCAGTCAGTAGGAGGACAATTGACAGTGCAGTCAACTATCGTATTTTCTTCTTTTTGCCTCTTTCCCATAGTATAGAATCATAGAGTTGGAAGAGCCCTTGTGGGCCATCCAGTCCAACCCCCTGCCAAGAAGCAGGAAAATCGTCTTCAAAGCACCCCGACAGATGACCATCCAGCCTCTGTTTAAAAGCCTCCAATGAAGGAGCTCCTACCACACTCAGGGATAGAGAGTTCCACTGCTGAACATCTCTCAAGTTCTTCCTCATGTTCAGGTGGAATCTCCTTTTCTGCTCCGCGTCCTGGTCTCCAGGGCAGCAGAAAACAAGATTGCTCCCTCCTCCCTATCTATGACTTTCCCTTACATATTTATACATTCTCTCATAATGCCTCCTCTTAGCCTTCTCTTCTGAAAGGTAAACATGCACAGCTCTTTCAGCTGCTACTCATACGGCTTGTTCTCCGGAACCTTGACCATTTTAATCAACCTCCTCTGGACACATTCCAGACTGTCCACAGCTCCCTTCAATTGTGGTGCCCAGAATTGGACACAGTGTAATTCCAGGTGTGGTCTGACCAATGCAGAATAGAGGGGTAGCATGACTTCCCTAAATCTAGACCAGGGGTCCTCAAACTAAGGCCTGGGGGCCAGATACAGCCCTCCAAAGTCATTTACCTGGCCCTTGCTCAGGGTTAACCTAAGTCTGAAATGACTTGAAAGCATACAACAACAACAAAAATTCTATCTCATCAGCCAAAAGCAGGCTCACACTTCCTATTGAAATACAAATAAGTTTTTGTTTGTTAAAATTGTTCTTCGTATTAATTATTGTATTGTTTTTAAGTGTTTTATTTTTCACTACAGATAAGATATGTGCAGTGTGCATAGGAATTCATTCATTTTTTTTTAAAATTATAATCCGGCCCTCCAACAGTATGAGGGACTGTGACCTGGCCCTCTGTTTAAAAAGTTTGAGGACCCCTGCTCTAGACCATGCTCCTTCTGCTCTAGATTTCCATTCTTTTTTTTTTTAATAATTTTTTTATTGATTTATCACATTTATTACATACTATTGCATTTTGTACATCAACCTCTTTAACATGTTGTTTTATTGTTTTGCTTTGACAATTCCCCTCCTTTTCCCTTTTTTTTTTTCCTTTTTTTTTTCCCCGCCATAGTGCTCCCCTCCACCCGTCTCAAGCCACCATTCTTACATTTCATCTGTCCAAAATTTCATTTCTTCTTGTGACGGTAATTTTCCTTCCTTATTTTTTAATCCATTTACCACAAATCTTCCCCATACAGCATCAAAATCGCTTTGTTTCCATATACCTTTTTTAACCTTTAATATACATGTCAATTTATCATTTGTTGCTATTTTCCATGCTTCTTTATACCACTCCTCTATTTGTATATTCATTTCTTTTTTCCAATTCCTTGCTATGAGCAGTCTTGCTATAGTTAATAAATTTGTTATCGCTTCTTTATCCTCCTTTTTCAATTGCTTATTGTTTATAATGATAATAAAGCTATACTAGGACTTTTATCAATTTTCATATTCATTATATTCTATTTCTCTAAATACTTTCTCCCAAAAGTTATTTACATATTTACATTTCCACATGTGTATATATGTTCCTGGTTTTTGACATCCTCTC